ATGGAAACATGATATGGGCTTACACTAACATGAGAGAGCCTCAGCCACACTCACATAGGATGCCGGCGGATAAAAATGAAATGTCTCGAAATGCGTGCACACGGGCACGCAAACTGAGGAAATGCATAAATGCGATCTAAGATACAACCTAGTATGCACTATGCTGTGAAAATGAGATGCCTCGAAATGCGTGCACACGGGTACGCAAACCGAGGCAGTGGCATACGCGATGCAAATGACATGGAAATATGATATGGGCTTATACCAACATGAGTGAGCCTCAGCCACACTCATACAGGATGCCGGTAGATGAAAATGAAGTGCCTCGAAGTGCGTGCACACGGGCACGCAAACCGAGGTAATGGCATACACAATGCAAATGATATGGAAATGATATGCAAGCATGCTAATGGGGTTGAAGCACTGAAATGTGGGGAAAACAGCCCCGAAATGAAGCGAAAACACACCCGATGTATGGAATCTCTCCCGAAATGCAAAATTAGGCACCCGAAATGGCCTATAGCTATACCAAACATGCATAATTGGCACATGGAATGAAAAGACAGAAGCAAGACAGCCCCAAAATAAGCATTTTACTAGTACAAAACATGGCCAAACAGCAAGCAAAGATAGGGAAAAATTAGCATGCGAAAATGGCCCTAAACATGGGATTAAGAAGCAACTCATAGCTGCTGTCATCAAACAGGTTAGGATCCTTCAACAACATTGAAGAGGGACAAAAAATAAGCACTTTCACAGAACTGTAAAAACCTCAAAAACAAACATAGATCAGGCTAAGTTCTTATGCAAGAAAATGGACCGAAAGGTGGCCAAAGAGGCAAGTGGTATATGCAAAGCCCAAACTGAAAAATTCCCTTCTACAACATTGAAGAGGGATCAAAATTAAGCATATTTACGGAACTGTAAAAACCTCAAAAAAGTATACAAACATGCTAGAAATGCAATGCAAAATAAGGCTCAAAAGAGGCTATAACATGAGGTATGCAAAATATTCCACAAACGGCCAAAGACCCTTAATGAAACATGAAGAATGGGCCAAAATAAGACTATTTTCAGAACTGTAAAATGGCCAAAAACAAAAGCATGATAGGCTAACAAAACATGCAAGAATGGGGACCAAAAGAGAGATATAACATGAAGTGGCATATGGAGGTCCCAAACCATGAAAGGACCTAAATGAAACATGAATAATGGACCAAAATGAGACTACTTTCAGTGCTGTAAAATGGCCAAAAACCAAAGCATGATAGGCTGCCATGGCATGCAAAAATGGGACCAAAAAGGGAGTATAAAGGTAAGTATAGCATGGAGGTCCCAAACAAAGATGAGCCCTTCTTCAATGTTGAAGAGGGGCTCAAAATAAGCCTACTTACAGTTCATGAGAAACTCCAAAACAGATTACACACGAGCTAAAAATATCATGCAAGAAAACGGTATTTAAGAAGGGTATTGAAGCAAGTGCAAGATGGAGGGCTCAAACAGGGTTGAGCCCTTAATAAGACATGAAAATGAGCTCAAAATAAGGCCACTTTCAGTTATGGCCGGAGCTCAAAGCAAAAAGCATAGATGGCTTACAAAAGATATAAGAAATGGGCCATAAAGGGAAAGATGCAACTCACCCTTGAAGACCAATTGTTTTGTTGCTTCTTGGACCAAATTTGTTGCCTCTTAGCTGCTGGAATTCCTCCTTTTGCTGCTGGAATGGAGTGGTGGTGGTAGAGCTTGGTGGTGATGAAGAAAGTAAGGTGTAGCTTAGGGATTTTCAAGGAAAATGAGAGAGATGGAGTGAGATAAGTGTATCAAGGCTTGAAGTGATTTTTTCTAACCCCTAAAATGCATGTTGGCAGCTGGTTATATGGACAAAAATGAGGGAGTAAAGGAGGGGCAAAGGTGGGGGAAAATTAGGCAAGTTTTCCCCCACAAAATATCCCCCGGATTGGGATATTTTCTGGGGGAAACAGCCATACAGCTGTAAAGTGGACATTGAGAGGAATATGGCAGCCCCTTTTTGGAGTTCCAGGTGGCCGGCCGGCCGGCCACCTCACCTAGCCGGCCGGCTAGGGGTCAAAACGGTCAAGTTGAAATAGTGGCCGGCCACCACTTTTTAGGGTCCTCCCATGTGTGTACATCACAGATATGTGGTTCAAATTTCAAGAAAGTGGGTCCAAGGTATTCAACATTAGCCCGGAAGGAGGGGTTCGAAAGGGTCAGGAAACATTACTGGCCGGCCACCAACTTTTAGGATCCTGCCAAGTGTGTACATCACAGATATGTGGTTCAAAGTTCGAGAAAGTGGCCCCAAGGTATTCAACATTAGCCCGGAAGTGTGAAAAATGGGCGTCGGAGGGCGTCGGAGGATATACAACTGGTTGCTGCAACAATTACTGGCCTCCCACCTTTCAGTGACCTTCCCGGTGATAAAACAGAGGTACCTGCCAAAAATGAACGAAAACCGTCCCAAAACGAATGTTTGGGGGCCAAAACGCGCAGTTCGGGGTCCCGAAAATGGGCTGTTAAGCACCGAAAGTGGCATTCGGCCACGAAGTGGGTTTCTCGGACCCCAGTGTCCCTCAAAAGGGAGTGAATAAGATGTTGCCAAAATTTAGAGCAAACAGAGATGGTTATACGGCCCCGAACCGAGGCACACGGCCCCGAACCGAGGCACACGGCCAACGGTCCCGAAAAACCGGAAACCGGACTCCGAAATGGGCAAAATGGCTTGCGGCCACAAAATGTAGCCCACGGCCACTGAGAGATGGTCTACGGGACCTCTCCCTCCCCTCAGGAAAAGAAACAGCGAAAACCGAGCCTGGTTCGCAAATCGAGGTAAAGCACAGAAGAGGGTTCGGAAGTCCGGAGGCGGGGCTCACGGCCGCGACTCTGAAACTTCTGAACGAGCACATTATGTAATATCACCAAGCGCTCAATCGGTGACATCTGAGTCTTAAGGTCGGTCAAAAATGGGGTGTCTACAGATTCCCATTACAATCTGAAAAAAAATCACATTGGGTTACAAAGGAATCAAACCCCAATAGCAGAGGACGGCTCTAAGAAATGGGTGTAGGGGAAAGTGAACTCCGCCCTCCGCAATGGATAGGAGAGGAAAGACAATTGTATTTTGGTCGCCCTTCTCCATATCAAGGGTATTGTCCGTTACTAGAGATAGATGGACATCATCGGGGATAGAGAAATGTCTTCGGAACCCCGAAATTCGACCCTCAGAAACGAGGTCTTTCAAATGCTTAGCCATTCTGGAGAGGACCCAAGGATATTCTGAATCAAAAATAAATATGGAAAGTAGGGTTGCAAAGAGAAGAAAACTTACGAAAGGCAAAAGAGAAGACGGAGAGGAGTCGCAGAAAATGCGTTGGAGGAGAGACACCGACTGGCAATCCAGGAGGTTCAAATATTCAAAAAAACATGCATTCGAAGGGACTGAAGTTTCAAATCGTAATAAATACGAGGGAAGCGCGAATGAGGCGGGAAAGCGTTGCAGTTCTGACGCGCATCGGGAAGAGAGTTAACCACCGAATTTTTGACTGCCCAGACTAGAAGCCAAACACGCCGACTAACTGATGCTAGTGGGGTGTTTGGGGGCAATTGTGGGAGCCGGATAATTGGAAGAGTCAGAAGCGTACTTTGGAAGACAGATATTACTCAGCTCTATTCTGCACGATCAGAATGCCGAATAATACAGATTGGCCGAATAATATCGAACTATAGAGCCGAGTAAATAAGAGGATAATGAATGAAAAGTGGGTTTGGCGTCGAGGCGTAGGAAACAATTATAAATAAAGGAGCAACAGAATAAGAAAGGTATGCGAGAATTGTTGTGCTTAACTTAGAATGCAAGCATTCTTGAGTGTGGAGACTGACTTGTCCGTCAGAGTGCTAATTTCGGCACCCCCGACAGGAGTGTTTATTCATTTTCAGGTGACTATTAGCGGATCATGAGCGTCCCCTAGGATCAGAAGAGTATTTCAAAACCATCTCTCCACAAAAGTAAATAAAAATCATATCGTGGTTTAGTAGAGGTCGATTTTTTGATCGAGTGAGCAGAGAGTGCTCAATTAATGACCTTCCCCCCTCATACCTAAGGTTCCAAGCCAAGTATCCTTGGTTACGACGAGCAGTGGCCTTGGCGAGTCACAGGTTTCCTAATGTTTCCAAAATATTAGGTGATGACTCTGAGATCTGATGACGCAATCCATTTATGGCAAAGGTTTTTGCAATAAAATGGATTTGCTATAGAAGTTGTCAAATCTGGACTGTCGTCTACGTTTCACAATGTACTCGTGAGACTAGATCGAAGAAATTGACAGTCTGAACTATTCAACGAGCGCGGGTAACCCTCAGGCAATGTTACAAAGTGTAATCGGGTTTCCATTATCTCTTGGGGTCAAAAATTTGATTTTTGGTTGAAAAACAGGCTAAAGGGTATTTTTGTCATTTTTTCAGAAAGTCAGTTTTTAGGCCAAAGTAGGCCATGACAACAACTTTAAGCAACTTTCAATGTTCCAAGGGTGGAGATATTACCATTTCATCATCGGAAGGCTTACAAATGCCTGAAATTTTAGGATCAATCAAAATGGAGTGTCTACAGGTGGTAGTGGTGGTTGTAGTTACTTTATAATGGTATATGTCAATACTTGCGTTTAGTATTTATAAATTCAGTCAAAGAAAAGTAAATTTTATGACTTCAATTTTTTTTTTTTTAAAATCTTTGAGAGACACTTAAATTTTTAAGTGATGTCAATTGTGATTATCAAACAAGCTTAATTGATTATTACTTAATACATTTAGTTTTAAGTGTCGAATCAAGTTATCAAACACCCCCTTAGGTGGTATTTGATAAAACTAAAAAATTGAAAACTGTTGACTGAAAATTAAGTATTGAAAATTGAATAATGAATTTTGTAAGTTGAAAAGCTATTTAATAAAAATTTGAGTACTTAACTAAAAATAAGTTGTTTGATATATAAAAGATCAAATTTGAAATTTAATATTTTTAAATTTTATATTTCAATTTTGATGGTATAATGGTGGTGTACCGGTACCGATAGTAATAGCGTTAATGGTGGTGGTGGTGATGGTGGTGGTGGCAGTGGTAGCGGTAGCGATGGTAAAGGTAGTATTTATGGAAATAATGACAATGCTTATAAAGGTGGTAATAATAGTGGTAGTGATGGGGATGGTGGCGGCAGTGGTGGTAGCGGTAGCGGTAGCGATGGTAAAGTTATTATTTATGGAAATAATGACAATGCTTATAAAGGTGGTAGTAATAGTGGTGGTGGTGGTAGTAGTGGTGGCAATGACAGTGGCAGTGGCATAGTGGTGGTAGCGGTAGTGGTAGCAATAGTGATTGTGGTGGTGGTGGTAGTGGTGATGGCGGTGGCGGTGGCATGATGGTAGTATGATGGTAGTGGTGGTGAGTTTATAATAGTGCATATTGATACTTATATTTATTATATATAAATTCAATCAAAATTAAGTTTCATATGACTTAAAAGTTTTTAAAGTTTTAGCCTACATTTTGAGAAACGCTTAAATTTTTAAGTGATCAATTTTGGTTATCAAATCGGGCTTAATTGACTATCACTTAATACATTTAATTTTAAGTAGTCATTTGGGATGTGCTATATAAGTGTACTTTTTGACTTTTTGGTCAAAAGAGTAGAGAAAAAAATATATGTATATTTGGGATAATTTTTTGACTTTTTAAGAAAAGATAATATTATAGTAAAATCAAAATGACAATTTTATCCTTTTGACTTTTTGGGTTGTTGAATTCAAAGGGCAAAATAATAATTTTGCCCTAGTGGCTTCCCCCACAAGCTACCCTTGAATAGTATAAACTTTTTAACTTTTTTTAATAACTTTTTGAATTTTTGGCTCAGTGTGGAAAGAAAAAAGTAAGGCTTTTTTGGCTCAAATAATCAAAAAAAACAAAATAAATTTTTTAACCCAATAAGACAAAATATCACATCCAACTCATAATCATTACATTCTTTCTCTCACAAAAAGT